TATATCCAATGAGAACTCCACCTCCATTACCAGAGCCATTATGGATGGCGTGACTTAAGAATCCAGGTCATAGGATAATGGGATGTTTTGAAACAGTCTTTGCCACACTGCTTTTGTCCAGCCATAGGTGTAGCGGTAAATATACATGACGCATTCCGAATTCATGAGGCAACGAGTCCTAAGATTTCATTAGGCGCATATTTTTGATTAGTAGAACTATCCAAGACTTACTTGAATTTCCCACCAACGTGTACCGGAAATTAACTCATTATACATCCTTGTAATTCTAGATCCATGCTTCAGATACTTCTCGACAGGATACCACATAATCAGACCCGAGAGCATTAGATCTGTAAGGATATCCAACATCCACTTCCAAGGGTCTCGATACCTGAACTTGAACTTGTACTCTCGGCCTCGGAATGTGTGCGTGATCTCCTCTTCTTCGAACTGTATAAATTTTAGATTTTAGATAAGTGAGCTGTTTTGTAAAGAATCAATACCTGGACGCCGAACTGCCTGGCAGCTGCAAGTGAGTCCTGAAAGTCGGCATAGTTCCGGATGGTAATATATGTGTTCGGTGCCCAACGACCATTGAATCCAGATAGCAACTTGGTGACTGTTTGGACCCGAACAGCTTCATGGATCATTTCCTCGACGAATTCGAAATCGGCACGTGTTCAAAATGGTGCCCATGGTTTGGCAGCAATACTTGGTGGTAGGCAACCAGGGAGAGATTTATGGCATGGATCCTCCTCTGTATCGTCAAGGGACAAGATTGTCGTGGATTGTTTGCCACTATGTGGGTGGGATATGATTTCGATATATGCGCTCGGTGTGTTCAATTGGGGTTGTTCATGTATAAAAGACTCTTCTTCCTCTGACTCAGGTTCTACAATAAAAGGGTATTAGATACAGTCACTTTAATTTAATGGCGCCTTTTGGAATGAAAGAAAGCTCATGGCTGTCCCAATTCGTATGGCGGCTACATGAATTTCTTGGTGAGAAGCGATTCATCGCGATGTCTTCTAGTCCGAGCTCACATAATAATTCTGAACGCCAGGTGAGCCAGGCTCTCTCATCTTGTTCCTTTGGTATGGGTCAACGCTGATATAGAGAGCTTTGATAAGGACGCCGCCATCTAAAGGTGTATTATCGAGGTCGAGTTTCTCTTTGGTGTCGTAGATATCTATTGGAGACTTTGGTCATCATGCGATAGATTTGACCTTTGAAATTAATAAGAGGTCTCGGTAGAAGGTATGTACGGAGGAGGGTTTAATGTTGTTGTAGTCGCGGTGTCCGCTCGTCCTTCTTATATCTGTCCCAAGCTTCACTGGGGTGAATATGCAGCTAGTTGCCTCGCTGATTCGTCATTCCCGAATTGGAGAAATCCGGTCGAGGATGGCTTAATAATTTATAAACTTTGATAAATAAGCCATCTGAGGAAGCGGGACTACAAATGTGCGATCGGGATGACGAAAGTGATACCAAGTACCTATCTCACAGAGTTCTTGATGAGCAGACAAGCAGGGATGTCCTCAAGAACTTACATTTAGAGCTGTGTGATAGATTCAATTGAACTTGAATTATATTCACTAATATTGATTGATATCAGGAAGATGCAAGTCAAACCAAGGTAGGTGTTGTTGATTGGAACTTAGGCTGAGCTCAGCGCACCGGTATTTCGGGGGTGAACCAGCTGTTGTATATAATTAGTACTTAATGTAATACGTTTGGCGTTGAAAATTGACCCCAAATTGCCTATGATACTCGTGGATCAGTGCTGAGTATGCATAATTTAGCAAGATATTAACTTCTGAGGATGCAGATGAGCATCAGCCCGGGTGACGGCGCCCGATATTAATATTATCCTCGTAGCCACAGACTGCACCATAGAACTAATCTAGCGTCAATGATCAGCAAAAGACGATCTATTCTTAAATGACGTGAGTGGAACTAAATAAAAATGTTCTGTCGTCTGATTAAAAAAGCTCACGGAACATATAATAGCGGACTAATTTTCAGTTCGACTGAAGAGCGACTTCAATAATTCAGGGTAGGCCAGGTAACCTATCTCATAACTATAAGTACAATAGAGCATTCGAGCCAACTTCAATCTTGATTAAAGCATGGGTGAATTTTTAAAGAAATAATCTTGAACACTAAAAACTCTCAGGCGGGGAATTGAACCCTGATCTCGCGCGCGCTTAAACCTTGAGTTAAACTCTCAGCTTGACAGGCGCGAATACTAACCACTATACTACCTAAGACATTTGTCTAAAGAAATATAATCCTATTCCCCAGTTGATCAGGGAGAAGGGAGGGGAGGGAGGGAGATGATATCAGAGCTTTTTTTTTTATCAACCAGATACTTGTAGAGCGGCAAGCCTGCAAATACCTTCTCTACTCCATCAATGAACTATTTATCTACCTCAAAAGCCTCCTCGCTAATTTATTTTCTTTTCTGAATTGCCAAAAAGACAGAAATAAGCCAAAAATACCTCTCAGGCGGGGAATTGAACCCCGGTCTCGCGCGCGCTATGACTTTGGATTTAAACCCTTAGTCTTGCTTGACAGGCGCGAATACTAACCACTATACTACCTAAGATGGGTTGCAAATATCATTAATGCCAATGGGCTCTACGCCCCTTGCCAGCCACACCGAAATTACCAATAACTTATAAGGCAACGAGAGGGTGATAGAGAGATATATATTAACGGAGTAAGTTGAAAACATGGTTTCCCCTACAAATCAAACAAAGATTCAATTTTGCCATCCCAGAATGTGAAAGGCGTTCCCAGACTCTACAGCAAAGGTTTCTTGAGCTTATAAGAACATGTTCATATATACAACGAACGGACTTACATAAATGCATTATGCCGATTCGATGAATAAAAATGCAAGGGTTACTCAACATGCAGAGTAACCATCGTGGGTTTTGCATTCATGCTGCGGTTGAATCCATTGCATGGCCACGTGAAGTCTCCCCGAATTCCGCAATTTTCGAAGTTCCTCAATATACTCCTGGCCATCTTCGGATGTACTAGGCTTATACCAGAACATCAAGCTCTCCAATGCGCATCGCAGTCCTTGACGCCCAATATGGTGCAAGCGAGACAAAACCACATCCATGACTGGTTTCAAATCCGTTGGATATAGGCCGTCCAATCGTAGGCTTCGTAGATTAGGAAGAAAGCACGTCCATTCGGAATGTTGTGGAGGATTGTCTTCAATCACTAACCATTCCAGGATTTCATTGCGGAGTGGGGAACTCGTATAGCTGATATTCAATATTTCTATTGACGGCATCGCCCGCAAAATATACATTGACTCCTTGAACGACGTGGAAAGGTTGACTTTCAGTAGATTGCACCCGGACCGCCGGAATAGAGTAACGAGGCTATACGTAGTTTCGGACGTAAAAGCGAATTGGCCGAGACGGCAAACTTGGAGCTCCGTTAGGTTAGGGAGGACCAGGTAATTGATAGAGTCCGAATCTTCATTACCGACACATAGCTTTCGTATCCGGGGAAGCTTGAGCGGCACTAGATCGTCGCTTTGAGGCGGCCCGACATTTACTGATAACATCTGAACGTTCAGTGATTCCAGATTTTCAGCAGCTTGCAGAATTTCGAGGTATAAGTTGAGATTCGTCAAAATTCCCAGTGACAAGTGAGTCAGTTGGGACCATATGTATCCATCAGTGCCAATCGATCTTTGTGTCTGTCTCATGATCAGATCCTGATAAAGTACTAGCCTCTTCAACTTGGGAGTATACCCAAAATCCCACGCGAAGCTATACCTATTGACAGTAATCGTGAGCGACTCCAGATTTGACATATCCGCCTTAGTAAACCAAGTAAAATTTTCTTCCGTGTCATCAAAGGTGAAGGAAGCAGTTCTCCAAAGATGAGAAGAGGCTGCAAATACTTTGTGAATCCTGGCCACAAGCTCTGTGTGTTTCCGAGGAGAAACATAGGTAAGGTCGAGCAAAGCACCTCGACTTTGTGTTAAAGCTGTCTCAAACATATCAGAAATCACATCAATTCCCCAATATGCCCCATTGAACTGTATACGGGACCACAGAGATGCGCACGCAAGGCCGACGGCCCGCCATCGCTTGCAGACCGCCGTTAACGTCCAGGCAAAAGTACCGTATTGTGTAACCGGACCTGCTGATTCCTCGAATATTCGCATGAGGATATCGTCAGGCAATCGTCGAATAGGTGCGAAGATGGCCCGTTGGCGGAAGATGTATTCCTCGATATGAGCCAGCGCTAGGCGGCCCATGGGACTATACAGAATTTCTATGTCCTGTTGGTAAGATACCAAATGGTCATTCGCAGTAGAAATGAGGCGCTGAAGCTCTTCTTGCTCTTGTGCAGAGGGGAATCCTTGTTCTGTATGAAATGGCAGAGGAAAGTGCGAGTTTAAGAAGTCCTCGTTCAATTGGCTTTGAAGCTCAACATTTTCGGAAGGCCTATACGGTGGTGAGTTATAGTATTAGTGATAGTCGATTCAAATGAAAGGTGTGCTCCTACATTGTGGCGGTTGACAATGAGTGGTTTCCGTCTGACGATGATTACCAAAGCTACGCTTTGGTTCCATAAAATTTTTTTGTTTGTATTTGTTTGGTTACTCAAGGTAGGGCGAGTTGTGGGTCCTTACTCCACTCTATCGACCAAAGCGGAGCTTTGGTTTTCTGCCGCTTGTCGGCCTTCTCCCCTTCATCACGTAAGGTGTGAGAGATTATCCCGCGTGTCCAGAAAAGACTCTACATTTCTTTCTTTCCACACAACGCAACGTATGATATGTAATAGAAGCAAATAGAAAGAATGTCTGAAGCTTGCTAGTTTATATACTTACTTGCAAATCGCATAGAACGACAGTTATAGGGAATTATAGAAGGGACAGCTTGACCTCAAGACAAAGGCCGCTGTCGTAATTATTTAAATTCTAACGCCTGAAATACAAAAAGTAAACAAACAAATTAAAAGGTCTCTCAGTGGGGAATAGAACCCCGGTCTCGCGCGATCTAGAGTTAAGTCCCTACTCTGACAGGCGCGAATACTAACCACTATACTACCTAAGATGCTTCTCCAGCGCAATAACATCCTATTTCCCGGGCTCCGGAGTTGATCAAAGAAAGAATTCATCCCATCATAGTTTAAATAGTTCCTAGTTCCCTAAAAGAGTAGAGTTCATAGAAATCTTAGGATATGTGCTTTATCACATTTGTAATAGTCCATGTTGATTGAATCTCTCCTCTATCATGAGTGACTCCAAACTTCCTCACTTCTCATCAACTGTGCGCTCACGAGCTACTCTGACAAAAACGATGTCGCAAAAATCTTTTCGACCTGGCCGAAGCTGATTCGGCTCAATCAGGCCGCTATGGCGGGTATGTCTATTTGATCGATCAGTGGCAAGACCATGATTGAGCTTAGTGGACCTGGCCAGGTATATTCGCATCGACCAGGGCACAGACCAAATATTTTTATAATTCCTTCAATTTCATTCTTAAGACACATAATAAAAGTATTTTTAAAAAGTTTTATTGATATTCTAATGCTGAGTACTAACTACATAATAAATTACATATAATATTATACCTCTACATTAGTCTTACTACCTTCCCTTGTCAACGGAAGCTGCTCTCTATACTAGTCTACTAGAATGTGTAGGTCTTCTTCAATAGATATGTTCTAATAAAGCTATTAGACTAATGAATACAACAAGAGTGTAAGTGACATACATATTATAATATGTTGAAACTCAAGTACCTATATTATAGTCAGTGAACCAAGTACTATAGTATGTGTGATCCATCAATAATAATAATAATAATAATAAAAATAAAAATAAGGCACTTATGTACACCCAACGGAGTAGACCGGTGTATGGTAGTGGGGTCAAAGGAGACATAGGAGTGGGGGAAAAGGTGCGTAGCTGAGAGCCGTATATATTGTTAACGCTTGTGGAGCTGTGGGGCTACGAGGATAAGCCTTCTCCACTGGCTTCACCGTGACTCTATTATTAGCCATTGTCCCTTTGTTGACTTTTTCAAGTACAAAAATGTTCATTGAAGACACTTTTTTTGCTTTTTTCTCTCATGGAATGAATATCCTTTTTGTAGTTATAACGGTCCTGCAGCAAATAAACTCATTTTGAATTTTGTATGTCCTGATTGAACAATATCGGTGATACACCTGACCTGATTCAAGCTGACCAGAACCGGCCAGGTCACTAGGCCTGACCAGGCGTAAAGGATTTTTGCGACAGAACACTCGCATTTGCGCCTCCTGTCAAAGCTTTTCCTACACATCTGGCCTATCCAGGACTTCTATGATACGTTCAATTGATGGGGATGCAAAAGCGGTAAAGGCTTCTTCTGGAGTCTTTCCCTGTCGAAGTCGTCATCTAGGACGATGACAGCCACAATCTCTTCGGTGCCATTTAAAGAAGCGGAGTCACGCTCACGTGCGCATCGTCTGGCAGTGCTGTTTCTTAAGGATGGCATCGACGCACGTATTGGCCTTGCCCTTGTCCGATCTTGGAGGCTAGTGACCAAATCAAGGAACCTCATATCACAGCCTGCTTTTTTTTCTTTTTCTTTTTCTTTTAGGATCGACGAGATACCGTGAACTGGCATGCACACACCTACTCCAATCCCCCAGTCTATTTTCCCCTGAATCGCCAAAAGACAGAGAGAGAAAAAAATCAAAAAACCTCTCAGGCGGGGAATTGAACCCCGGTCTCGCGCGATCTAGAGTTAAACTCCTACTCTGACAGGCACGAATACTAACCACTATACTACCTAAGATGTCTCCCATCAAACGGTGAGGGGATCAGGCCCGGGCGCGGGTCCGCCTCTGAGTCTGAGTCTGAGATGAGCCAGTGAATCCAGAGGGGGAAGGCCAGCCGGGATTCTGCGGTAGAGGGCCTCGGTACGAAAAATCAATAGACTAAATTATATTTATTTCGGTGTGTCATGTACCCTGCGGAATTCGAATAATTAGAGCACTGTGGTTATAAACAATTGGGATATACCATCTCATGTCAGTATATGGCAGGTGCAATATACATACGTACGCACTGAGCGTTGAGCCCTGGTTACAACTTGAACTTACAATACAATGTCCCGGTGAGCGCTCTGCCTTTATTTTCAGCGCCGATATAGCCCTTGTCCTTGTCCTCGTCCGCTGAATACCGCGTTTGACCCTCGTATGTCCCCCGATGCGGTCGAGCCTGCATGGCCGTCCTGGCTTTCTCGTTGATACTATGGCCAGTGCATCACGCCGGCACACAAGGCGTCTTACGTCGGGTCCGAGTTGGTTCAAGAAGACGGCGTTATATATAAGCATTTGAACAGACTGAGGAGATGAGGCCAAATTAAATAAATAAACCGCTATGTTCTGGAGGGTTTTGGAGGCGATAATGATATTCATGTCGCCGTCGCCATCCTCATTGACAAGGACAGAGACCGAACCTTCAAGTTGGTTTCCTTCAGCGAGTTTACATCAACCAAACATTCCCTTCTCATCTCCTCTCGTCGATGAACCACTCACTGCATCACTGCCAAGGAACATACCTCCTAATCCCCCTTCAAAAGATCGCACCCGAGTCGAAGGTGCGTCAGGTTCGGTCGAAGCTGAAGTCGCACAATAGGTGGGACTTCAGGTATCCTGCTGCAGTACTCATTAGTAAGTGGCACCCGAGGCCCCTGGAGATCGTCTCTTCAGGGCAGTGTGGCAAACGCCGTGAGCCTACCCTGCCAGCCTCCCCTGCGTTGCTCAAGGCACTGGCACTCATTCCAAATATGAAAGCGCTGAAAATGCAGTTCCACGTTTTGTGACGTCCTCCATGTATTGATTCCATCTCTGAAAGCTCCGTTAAGCAATGTCAATACGCTCCTATTAGTATGATTCACCCGTCTATCCATGTCCATCATGATCCTTTGCAAATGGTCTTTAAATTCAGAACCCATCAGGGCGGCCGAGCGTAGATCCGTGCAAATCTTTGTAAATACCAGGCTGTCGGTATCAACTCGTCGATCCTGAGTCTTCCTCGAGGAAAAAAATACTGCGATAGGAGGGATGAATTCGAGAGGAATAGAGCCAGAGGTGAATAACCCGAGGAAGTGAGTAGAACCCGAGGAAAGAGATGAGAGGCCGAAAAGTGATCGGATTCGAGGCTTTGGTAACGTATAATTGAATTTGGATTACTCGATAGGTGGATTGCAATTGCACGCGTACGGCGTTATTAAAGGCTATTAGGGCTATCACTTTAATTGCGAGGTCGGATTTACTCACTATAATTAGGCTTTCGACGTGTATTTATGCTGGTATCTCGACGTGTAATATGTACTTGTGAGGTATTATTTCTGATGAGCTGCGTAGTTGGATCGTGTGAGCTGCAGTGCGTTTGGATTGGTGGATTGATCGCAAGGGGCAATGCTACTGGAAGTGGTAGCAGCATTGACGTGTATATGCTAATCAACGCAGTTGAATGGGATGTGTATTCGACACAGCAGCTGATGGCAGTGATGCCGGGACGGTCGTCAAGAGTGTCCCCGAGGAGACCCAACGGCTAAAAATAGGGATCAGAAGTAAATGACGGGTAAGACGCGACGGGCGCCTTCTCGCATGGCAATATGGTGGTCGCAACGAGCAATTCCAGTATTCTCTCTCTTCGTCTTCACGGATTCCATTCCATTCCTTCAGCTCAGCAGCAGGTCTGCATTCCATTCCTTGTCCAAGCTGGCTGGCAATGCACAAAACACAAAAGCCAAAACCAAAACAATAAATGAACTCGCTCTGCCTCTCCCTCGCACCCAACCTCCGCTGCCAGTCCCTCTCCCGCATACAATCCCTTATCCTCGTTATTCCCCCCGCCCTTGAGCTCTTGTTCTCGCTCACCCTCGCCTTCACCCCGAACACCTCCCTCCGCGGGCAGAAACGCTGGCTCCTCGTCCTCGACGGCGTGTCCTTTTTCGCCCTCGCCCTCCTCGATGTGCTCGCGCATTCGATTCCCGCCATCTCAACCTCCATAACACCCTTCACGATCATCGACCTCACCATCGCCGCGGCCTCCTTCCTCCCGCTCCTATCCTACACGCTCTTCCTCACGCTCTTCGCCCGCTCCACGCTCATCCAAGCCTTCCCTACCCGCTTCCGGCGCATCCTCCAAATCACCTTATTCGCTCTAATCCCCTTCATCATCGCCTCCAACGCTTTAGGCTCCCTCCTCGGCATCGCACACAACTTCGTTACGCTCCCGTCCACCCCGCCGCGCCTCGTCCTGGGCATCCGCTGGCTCAGCAAGACATACCAGCACATCGCCGCCTTCTTCTCCTTCTTCGGCGTCACCCTCCTCACCGTCTTCCAGGCCGCCGTCTTCACGCTCGCCTTCACCCGCTGCGTCCGCGCCTTTGTCGACGCGCGCAAGGCCGAGCCGGCCCCGAATTCCGCGCATGCGAAAGAGGAGATCCACATGTTTAGAGGCATGGGGTGGGTCGCGGCGGGGTTGAAATTAGGCGCGATTGAGAGTGTGATCGGGTTCGCGGAGGGCGAGTTTGGGGTTGTGGTGATAAGGCGGGTTATCAGGTTCTTTGGACGCGGCGCGTTGATCATTGGTGTTATTAAGGGGTGCGTGCTACCGACTACTACATATTCTTAATACTCATACTACGCAGAATGAACACAGTCGAAGACTTCACGCGCCTCGACCCCGAGTTGAACGCCCGCCGCAACTCCACCGCAACGATGAACTCTTCCCGCCAGCTCCTCCACACCATCACCTCCAAGCTCAACATGTCGAACGCAGCCGACATGGTCGAGCGCAAGCCCACGCGCACGGGCTCTGTCAACCGCCTCATGATCTCCAACCCGCGCACCTCGACGTTTGTGCATATGTCGCCTGGCACGACCGCGACGTTCTACGCGTCGAAGGGTAATACCTCTTTTAATGCGCCTGCACCGAGTCAGAGCATGCCGCCGTTTGAGGATGTACATGATGCGCCGTTCGCTGCCCCCATCGCCTCATCATCCACCGCACCACTACCATCCCAATCCCGCTCCAACTCCCAAAACA